TGATCAGTACCGCGACCGCGTACAGCAACACTTAGTGAGGGGCCCACGAGCTTTTTGGCGGTACATAAGATCTAGAAAAGGGAATTCGAATAATCGTAGATTGATTAAAGACGGGAGGGTACTGACGGAAAACGAATATGCCAATGAGTTCTCGGTTCTTCCGTTCTGTATACAATCCAGAGCCTCCCGTGCTAAGTGTGGAGGCGGCGAGTGCAAATTTTGAAGCAGGCGCAGCGACCGGTGCCTGGGCGCACCTGACATGCGTGACACCCGCGGAAGTGCAACACGCACTCACGCGCTTGCCCCCTAAACGTTCAGCAGGGCCCGATGGCATTCCTTCGTTAATTTTTAGAGATTGCAGAGCAGTGTTAGTGGAACCATTGCTACATATATTCAACTTATGTATCAAAAATGCAAAGTGTCCTGATCGCTGGAAACTCACAAGGGTAGTACCGGTGCCAAAAAGTAGTGGAGGATCGGCGGCTAGTGATTACAGACCAGTTGCGGTTTTATGCACTCCAGCTAAAGTATTCGAGTCGACTATTCATAGTAGCCTGTATCCGAAAATAAGTGCTTTGTTGTCAGACGCACAGAACGGTTTCCGTCCTGGGCGAGGGACAACAGGGAACTTGTTGAATCTTATGGCACATATAGTACCGACGGTAGATGCCGGGTACCAAGTTGATGTTGCCTACTTTGATTTTAGGAAGGTTTTTGATACTGTTGATAATGATGTCCTTCTATCAAAGTTGGCTAACGTGGGTTGCACACCGCACACCTTGTCATTTTTCGCCTAATATCTACAAGACCGATGCCAATACGTGGATTGCAGCGGCAGTCTATCCGAACCCTACTTTACAAGATCAGGTGTAAGTCAAGGCAGTAATTTAGGACCTCTGCTATTTATTTTAATAATCAACGACTTGCCGAAAGTAGTCAAGATGTCTACACCATTGTTATTTGATGATGACCTAAAATTAGTTTGTACAATAAAGGGATCCGGTCATGACTCTTTACAACAGGATATAGATGGGGTAGTAGAGTGGAGTTTTAAAAATAAATTGTACTTCAACGTAGACAAATGTTCCGTATTATCGTTTAGTCGAGCGCGTAGCCCGAGTCGCCATCAGTACTACATGGACAGCATGCCACTGAAACGTGTATCCGAAGTGAAGGACTTAGGCGTGTGCTTCACTACCGATGTAAATTTTCGACAGCATATCGTAGAAGTTTGTAAGAAAGCTTACCGGAATTTGGGCTTAGTTTTACGTCAAGCGAATTCACAAATCTCAGTGCAATAAAAACTTTATACGAATCCCTCGTAAAAAGCCATTTAGAATGCAATGCTTTAGTCTGGTCGCCACAAGAAGCGAAATATAAATTAATGTTAGAACGCATCCAGAACAAATTCGTGACATTTATTTTTATGAAGCAGTATGGTGTGTATCCAGGCTTTCCACTTTTGTACCGTACTCTGTTCACACTAGGCATGACGGGCTATTTTTAATTAGAAGTAAGGAGGGAAGTGTCTCTGGCTGTGTTTATTCAAAGTGATTCGTGGTAAACTAAGGAACCCAGAGATTCTTCACACAGTTCAGTTGTGTGTGCCCAACGAGTACACGGGGCGACGGAGGCAGCCTCCCCTGTTGTGTGTGCCGCGCGCGCGCACTAACCTGCAGCACTGCGCGCCTCTCACGCGCGCTCTCCGCGCGCTCAACACGCTGTCTCTGCACATTGACTTGTTTCAATGCACACAGAATAAGCGATTGTATACTATCATAAAAATGTTTATTTTTATTTCGTGTTTGTGTTTTTTTTTAATTTTTAGTTTTGTATAATAATTGGTTGTATTGTAACTGCTCTATTGTATTAGGTTATACCTGTAATGATAGATATAAGTGATTATTAAATAAATAAATAAAAAATCTATGAGCTATATTATTGTTAAGTTTCATTAAAATCCATATAAAGATCCATACAAATGAAATGTTATGTACACATTGCGCAATTGGTTTATCTACAAATTAAATTGTTGTGGATCCTAAACACTCATATAAAATGAAAAAGGGTGTAAGGAACCTTAACATGATTTTCGATTATCTAGACAATGATACCCCAGTCGACATATTTCGTCAACTTATTTGTTTTTCTTTCTCACAATATGGCGCTAATTGTTGCCATATTAAATTTCGGTTACTGTCATATTTTTAGTAGCACTCCCATGATTAAGACGAACGGATTGGCGTATGAATCATCAAAATCGATCCACACGTTTGGTCTCTAGTGTGCCACAAAGGAACATAACTACATATATATACCGTTAAACACTATACCCTGTCTGCGCGTCGCGCTTCGCGCTCTTGCATTGCGCAGTCGGGTAAAAAGAGGAAGCGGTTGTGGTGTTATTGTTTTCGGTGTTGTGCTAAATGTTAGTCATAATATACTGTGCATTTGAAAACTTGCCAACTTAAAAGCTTGGTAATTTTACATTACCTTCTGATCTTAACAAATTAAAGAAGATGTTCCTCTGTAATTGACTAATTGTATTAGATATTGTTATATTACATAACAGTTTTCAAGTATGCTCTCCACAAAATAGTTTTCATTTTATGAAGTCACTTCAATAATTACTTTCTATCTTTGGAAACGCAAGTATTGCTATTTTGCATTCAAATTGCAATGCAATAATTTATTTTAAATAAAGGATAGTATATAGGGTGAAATTGAATGTTTCTATGAAACTTCGTGAGATTGTTGGGTTATGTGTATAGAGTATGCCTGTCTTTTTTCGGATTTTTTTGAAGTATATTTTTTTCATGTATTTATTTATAATTTGTGTATTTTTATGTCCTTTCCTCGTTTTGAGTAGTTATTCATTTTAAACAAACAAACTTACATATCCAGTGAAAAACAACTAATAAATAAGCACTTCTAAAAAACGGAAAAACATTGAAATTCCACCGCGGGTCAACGACCGACCGCGCCCGCCAGCCGTTGAGTGAGTAGCTACCTAACTCTATACAGAGCTCAACTGACTCGTTTGATTTGACACAATACAATAAAATCGTCTTAGATGCCTTTATTGAAATTGAAATAATAAGCACAAATGTCATCTTTTCTTAAGCAGAGAAAAACTTTAAAAGTTAATAATAATTTTGTCACGATTGGAAATAGGCAAATGTTAAACAAAAAGAAATACTTATTGCTTAATACCCCAAGAATGAAATTTATAACCAGGTATTCAAAAGTACTTACGAGACCGGCGATTTAGGTAGGTACAACGAGGAACGAGGAACATATTCTTTTTTTCACTAGAACTTTTTATCAAATCAATCACACTGGTAGTATACAATTATTTGTTTCTAATCAAAAAGTATTTACACTAGCAATAAAAAGAGACTTAAATTATTATCTGCAAAATTGTTGCTCTAAACCACCATTTTGCTGCAAACAAAGGTTGCCTGTTTGCGGACGTGTCTTTTCACCTTTTTTAAAGTGTCCCTATCACTACTCACTGCACAAAATGAAACTTCTATGGTTTAGGAACTCATTCGTAAACCAAACCTACTTCGTCACACTCGCGATAGCAGTACACCATCTCTAAATATTCTTGGTTTGTATACTGAGGCATAATGAAATTATCACAGTGTATGTCACCAAGTCAAAAGATGCGCACGCTCACGCGCGATTGATATACTTGCGACTGCGTTTTGCATGCAATCAAAGCAAACGTCCGCGTGCGGGGAAGAGGGGAGGTGGGCGGAATTCACATCATCAAAGACGCCGCAACCGGCGCTAGTTGCCAGCGTGCGGCGCGCCGCCCGGCCGTGCTTGCCGCAAAACAACATATTATTATGTGTGTGTGTGTGTATGTGTGACTGTGGCTGTGATTAAATGTGTTCGGAATTTCATGACGTGGGCAAATCAGACACGAAGAGTTCCTTCCTTCACTAAGCTCGTAAGTTATACCGATTTGCTCTTAATTTTAAGAAGATTTATTTTATTGATTAATTACCTGTGCTTTATGAAATAATATTCAAAGGTATTGTGTATCAGTGAATAAATAATTATAATATAGCATCTAAGACTATTTTATTGTATTGTTTTTAAATAGTGTGGATCAAAGCGGAGAATAGGTAAGCGCCGAGTCATCTGTGCGTGTAGTTAGGTACCTACAGGCGGCCGCCCGGTCGTCGCTTCGACCGGCGCTGATCTCGACTGGAGGCATAATGAAGGCATTCATTAAGTTTCCGTTTTTTTAGTAGTGCTTATTTTAAGTTGCTTTATAACTTCTATGTAGACGTGTTTAAAATGAATAATTACTCATAAGGAAGAAATCACAAAAAAATAACCAAATAAAAAATTAAAAAACGTAAAAAATTATTTTAAAAAATCCGAAAAAAATCAGGCATACTCTATACACGTAACCCATCAATCTCACGAAGTTTCATAGAAACATTCAATTTCACCCTGTATATTCTGATTTATGAAATTGCGCCGATACCGCTAACACTTTATAACTTTGACCTACATAAATATTCAACGTTAAGGCAGTAACGTAAGGTAAAATAAAGTAACGAGAAGATCCGCACTCCGAGTCGAGGTAACACAATTTACTCATATACCAGCTAAGGTTGCGCAAGTGCCCTTAAAATATGGATTTGTCTGCCTCTCAAGAGTTTATCTTGAGTCTGGAAATTATGAGATTATATTATAATACGTATAGAAAAAATGTAGGTTAAGTGAAGCGTATTAACTAAGGGCAAGTGCCTTTTTTCAAGTTATTGAAGAAATATCATTAAAAATGTTAAAACGAAAATAAGACTATTTATTTCATAATCTCTTGAGTATTATAATACTTCTATTGAAGAAATACACTTGGTGCTTAGCGCCCATCCGACGTTAGTGTGGGACCACTGTGGGACTCCCGTGTTTGTTTAACTAAGACTACACGAGATCCAATTTACATTACTTAACCTTGAATACTTATAGCTCCCTACCTATATGAAATTCAATTCGGTCCCTGGGGTGAACGCAAATTGCTTTACACTAATTCAATTAATTCAACTTAGATGAGGACTACAATACTGTCTATTACTGACAAATTCAGCCCTCGTTTCTATTAAACTTTGAAACATTTTTGCTTTCAGTGTCTATGTGTTATTGTTTTGTATCGTCTTGGTAAAAGTAGATGATTGAAAAAACTTACTTCTTTCAGCCTTTGTCATGCTAACATCATCTCTCCTCCAAAACTTCAGGAATGGTGCCAAAGCCTTTATTGTGCATTCTCCATTCAACACTTTCCGTCCTAATTTCTTAGGCACCTCCTGCTCTATCTCAGAGCTGCGACACGACGACGAGTCATCTCCGAGGGAGCGAGCGCGCCTGCCCCCTCGAAAACTGACGCAGCCGCAGCCTTCTGCCAAAGAGAACATTGTGGGACTCTTGTCCTTTCTGTATTTCTTATCTCTTCGTTTCCGGGTACATCTCGGTTTGTTGGGTCTGGATTTGGGAATGGTGAAGTTTTTACTTTACAGCAGTTAGAAGCTGTTGCATAAACCAGTCGCACCGACTGGGTGGAAACTGTAAACAAAATAAAATTGCATTAAACTAACTTCTAATTCTTATAAACATTATCGTTACGTCTACGTCTTTATTGAACCTGGGTTATACTGCAGCTATTTAATTATCTAATGGGGGCTCACATAAATATTTATGTAACTTTATTAACGCCGTAAAACTGTGGTAAAAATAAATACTTAATTAATTTTATTCAGGATATTAGCTACAACAGTACTTTATAAATCCAAGTTTCCTATAAATAAACTTACACAACAAAGGAACTTTCGCATACAGGGCAGAGGAAAACTTGATGTTATCATAATAATAATACGTATTAACGTTTGTATTTTCCTGCACTTACTTACAATTTATTTATTCTTTATTAAAAGGAGAAAATATTTTATTAATTTCATTTCATCACATTTTAGTAAGGAGTTCTTGAAAAACATTTTGTCATTCCATATTTATTAGCAACTTTCAAGCTGAAAAATTAAGCGAGTCAAGTGAGCGGTACTAAGGTCATCTATTTGGCTAACGAGAATAATTTTATAAATCTTAGCGTGAATTCATTTAAGATGTTTTATTTAAGGATATTTATTTGCTAGCCTTTAATATAAATATGAGTTATATATTAATATTAGTAGAGCATACGCCCCTGATAGCGGAAGGTTAGAATCCAGCATGGTAATATCTCGAACTAATATTGAATTTTATGTCATAAATTCTTTATTTTTTCTGCCTGTTTTGTCATATGTGAGAGACAATGGGTTCGTAGTATAGTGATATGTTAGTTGGTTATATACTTATTGGGAGATCTAGATTCAACCACCGCCTAAGTAACAGATGAGGTGAAATGATCTTGATATGTTTAAAAAAAATACAAATAAGATATTTATTTTGACGAGCAGTCGAATACTGTAATTAGTTAGACATTCCATATGAGAATTAGACAAAAAATAATTACGTAAATGAAATATTTTTTTTAGAGATAAATACAACAAAAAACACAAGAACACAAACGTAGAAATAACCGTAGATGGATGGAAGTAACGTGCGTGAAACATAAAAGGTCTGATAACAATTATCTCGTAAAGTGAGCCGATCCACTTAGTTCTGACCTTTCGCTATATACAGTGTTTTCTATTGTACAGACACTTATTTGCAGAGTACATTATTAAAAGAGACTTTTTTGCTTCGAAGCGTGTTCAAAGTGCCTACACGTAAGGAGAAATTTATTTCCATCAAGAGTAAGTAATAAAATAACTGACTATGAAAAAATACAACAGAGGATAAACAGTGAACCTGGATGGATGATGCCAGGTATCGTAAGTTCATAAGTAATCCGAAGTAGGAAACTTAACTTTACACAAATTTCATTTCAGTCCATTGTGGAAACAAGATGCAGATCCCAGTATGAATAATTCCATCAGTATTATGTGTTTGAGTTCAAATTAGTTTTCGTATTCGTTAAGTACTTTAAATAACTTACGCCATAGTATTAGACAATTTGAAAAATATAATTGAATATTTGAAATAAAATCATACCGCCAAATAAATGGTTCTAATTATTATGTAGTACTTGATCGTTTTTTTTTTATTTAGTTGCAATTCAATAAATTACTTAGTAAGTAAGCCTTAGCACTAAGGCTTAATTCAATAATTTACTGAATTAAGTACCTTTAAATATGTACAAAAATTAAAAACGTATCAAGTCATAATTGTAAAATGATTAAAATGCTTGATTACTTTAAATTAGAAGAAGTTTGAATATTTTTTGTTTTTTTATGGCTAAGTAGATTTTTTATTTCACTTTTCAGTTTAAGTTGTTATAATTATTTTTTCAATTTAAAAATGTTAAACCTGTTAGTTATGTTGTACCAGTATTGAAATAATAGTGTTAATTAGAAGGTATAATACTATAATAATATAATAACGTATAATATAATACTTAATAAATGTTGATTTCGTATTTCAGGTAGTTTTATTTGAATCGATATTTGATTTGATTGGGTATTAGAATAATAATAATTGAGTTCTTACTAATTCTGGGAGTAATAGGATTATTTATTAGTCATAATTCAATTGATCTATGATTATAAATGGTTTTAAATACAAAAAAAAACTACATATATGGGTATTTACTACAGTCAATGTGCCAACAATTGATATACGAACTATACAGTTTTTTTAAAGTACATTTTCATGGGGTGTATTAACCAAGAATTGATTTTTTCTTAGACGTAAATCCAAGCTAACTTTAAAACTAAAGAAGATAGATAGGTTTTGATGATTTAACCTTTTTCATTTGCAATTTGTAAGAACTTTTCTCAAACATATTTTTTTTATAACTTCAAAAACAAAAAAGTAATGATCTTTAAGTAAAAAAAAAATTTTTTTCTGCTCTCTCGAAAAGTCGGGTTTTAGTTTATGCGACCTTTCTACCCAAGCGTATCGATATGTATTCTATCCGTTACCCTAGCATCCCAAAACAAAAACAAGAAAAATAAAGTTTTGTAGCGTTCTAGGTCAAAAAAATACAAAATATTTTTTTTCGGTTTATTATTAACATTTATAAAACATATTTCCAAATAGTTAAGACTAGCCTGTTTGACAGCCTTTATACAGAATTAATAGGAGAAACTGATGTTTAATTTGGAGAATCATGCCAGAATCGACACCCACCAGTGTCTATGTCTGATGGTAATTGTCTACCACAGCATGGTAAATTATGCCAATACAGCGTTTTCTCCAAGAACGCTTTATTCTATCTAATAATTTGTTATAAAAATAATTAAAAAAGGGAGATCTTTTTTAATTATTTTTATAACAAATTACTCGTTTTATTCGGTTTTATCTATCCTTACTTCTTCATTTCACTCGGAAAAAAGTACGTAGATCTGCGAACTTTTCATATGCATATTTTACTAATTCTGCGTAATTTTCTCATCGGGCTACTTCAAAATCTGAGTTTGCAACACTGACTACGGGCAACTACGGAACCCTACACTTTTTTTTTGTCTGGGAAATGCTTACGCATCCTTCAACCACCGGGGGAGCGAGAAGAAGGTATGTGGGACTCCTCCCTGCTCATTTCAGCCAGCCCTTAGGCCGGGTGAAATGAGCAGGGCCCTACCTAACGCCCTGAACAGGGCCACTAAAAACCAGACAATACTCCTGCACCGGTCACCCGGCGTACATTCTGAGGACCGCAGTCTCCCCAATGCACGCCAGGAGTGCGGGTGTGGTCGCGGCAACCGTTGCCGACTGTCCGCGCAACGGAACCCTACACTGCGCGTGCCACGACAAGCAAATTTGCGTAATTCAGATTTAAGAAGAGAATTCATTAAATTCGACGCTACACGATTACCACGATTTTATTTACTACTAGCGGCTGTTTTTGAGAATTCCTCAGGAACCTAACATTTTTTGGGTATAAAAAGAATCCTCATTCCAGGTCATAAAGGTTTATAATCTGGATTTCACTCAAATCCGTTCTGTAGTTTTGTGTAATTGAGAAACAAACAGGCAAACATACAAACACTGAAACATACAAACTTTTCTAAATATAATTTTAGTAGGATAAATACCTTTGTGAATTTGATAGAGCAAATGAATGCAATTGCACATTTATTAAAGATACACTAATGCTTTAAAAGCCCCTTCAAAGTAGAGCTCACACTCAGTCATTTAGATCGATTCCCGCATAATGTATACCTATGCTTCTGTATTTTTCTGTTGTTAGAGATACCGTACCTAGCGCATCATTCACAAACGATAGGACGCAAATTCAAATCCCATTCCCTGCTTTGTCACTGTCACTCGTATCGAAAAATATAAGGACAAAGAGTGAATTCAAATCCTTTTCCGATCGTCTGTGAATAAAGACGGCTTGTTCGGTAGAATGACTTAATTCTAAGTTTTGTGTCCAATATTCACTCACTCACTATCCTATAAAAGGAAAGCCGTGTCCGTACATTTTCTCTGATAAATTAATATGGTGGCAACACAATGCAGGAAAATTGTGTGAAGTAAAATAATAAAATCAATTACAAAGCTTTCACGCTAAATTGTATTTTCTTCATTTACGCAATTTCCATTGCAAACATAATAATAACACTAGTGTTTAAAAGTTTACTGTATTTTTGTTTTATGGAAGTTACTAGATTTAAGATTTTTTAATAGAAAAAGCAATTATATATAGCTATACCAGTGTAATGATGATTCTCAACAAATTAATAATTATGTCATGCACATGTGAAATTCATAAGTATATGTTTTACCATGTCGTCCGTCAGCCTGTCTACAGCTTAGAACAGAAATTCTTAATATTAGAAAGTTGAACTTTGGCATTGGTTTATAGGTACTTATAAATCTTTATATATATAATTCTTCTGTGAGTGTGTATGTCACTGAACTTCTCTTAAACGACTGGACCGATTTTGATGAAATTTTTTGTGTGTGTTCAAGGGGATCTGAGAATGGTTTAGATTCACAATTTTGTCCGCTGGACAACCCCTATTTTTTTAGGGCGGTACGAAGTGTGCTGGGTCAGCTAGTATACTATATAAGTCATGCCGACAGTGTTAAATAAAATCTTGAAAAAATCACAAAGTCATTGCAATTTAATTTCATTAATTCCATTAAAAATTAGGTACTTAAAACATTATTAAATAAATAAATAAATATTTCCAACACTCAAAACAATTGGCCTAGCCCCAAAGAAAGCACTGAAAGGCTTGTGTTATGGGATACTAGGGTAACGGCTAGAATACATATATTATACGTATATAAGTATATTTATATAGAAATACATATTAAACATCCATGACTGGAGTACAAATGCTCTCATTCATCACAGAAACATCTGCCCCCACCGGGATTCGAACTCGGGACCTCTCGAGTCGGCCACACCATAAAAACCCAGCGTATAAACCACTCGGCTACGGAGGTCGTCATTAGTTATGTAAACATTTATAAATTGTATACCTATAAAATAAGTATAAATTCTATAAGTTGGCAAAGCATTTTCAAGTAATATTACATTTAATATAATGTCGATATAAGTATTTAAGTATACTTGTAGTACTATAAACGAAAGAAGCGTAAATTGTCTATATTACCATAAATTTTGAAGGCTCTAATTTATTGTGAGGGGGGAAGTGGCGTCACAACAGCTTTTTCGTATTGAGAATCATAAAATGACCAAGATTGGCAAACACAAAGACTGCCAGTTTGTGTAGCAAACTCGGTTTGATTGCCCCACGAGCCCGATTCCACTTTATTTCCCTGGAGTTTTGCGGACTACAAACCGCTCACTTTTACATGTTAAGAATTTTTATTTTATTTTTATTAAACTACATTAAAAGTTATTCTTATCATAGAGTGCTTTTTAGCTTTTGTCAAAATTTCAATCATATTTTACTTTATATTTAAAGAATTATAGACGATCGTGTAAAGATTTTCATTAATTAGACTTGTAGTGAAAGAAAAACACAATAAGCCAACTGCTAACTTTCCCACCTATACTGTGTGTGAATGAACAGGGTTTATTCTATTGTAGAAGATGGCTAGGCAATCTGTAACTTTTATTTTCGGCCTATAATATTGATCCAGCCTATGCCAAATATTGGGTTACTTAGGCGTGGCTGGGTAGTTATATTTATGTATGCCTCGCAGTTTTACT